CACACACTCAGATGGTGTACATAACAAATGTACAAATACGTGCAATTGTGTCATAGGGTTAATTTAGCCCCTAAAGATATTAATTGGCTGCGATCAGGAAGGCACTGTAAGTCCACCCAGCTATTCTGCAACCTCCTGAGGATTGATGACGTATAATTAACATCTGCTTAATGGATGCACCTAGAGACTTAATCACACAGCCTTGATGAACTCTCGCTAGGCTTGCTTTGTGTCAAGGCAGCTGCCCTTTGCTACCGTAGTAGTTACGATGCAAGCAAGAAATTGGTAGTTTCAGATGCAAGAGGTTCCTGTCTTTGCACCAGATCTTTCACACTCTCCTTTCCTGTTTTCACTGTTAAATTTTACCTTGCCTCAGTTTTAACATTTTCTTTTTCCACACCCCTTTTGCTATCTCTAGAAATGCAGAACCATTGCCATATCCTCCAACTTTATCTTTTCACAGGCTGCACTCCCATTTCTGTGCCATTTTCATCAGTTGCTGCCAGGTACCTGATGTGCACTGATGGGGCATTTCCTCCAAATGTACCTGATTTTTTGGCAGGCTGCCTGCTTAATGCTTTCAGCAACAAAGGCGGCAGCAACATGGTACTGAGCGTAGAAATGCTGACACTCTGAAAAATAGACAGATTTGTGGCACTGAAATATTACAGAACCAGTTCTTGTTAAAGCTTAGACATTTAACTACTATTTGTTGTTTAATTTTGGATTGAATGATTGGATTTTAAACTGTCCAAGAACCCAAGTTCTCTGGGCAGTGTACAATACATTAAAATGTGCTATACAAGCAACACAACAATGTATAAAGCAGTATATATTAAAAGCAAACATATAATAAAGCCAACAGCAAAATGTAAAATGACTGTAGATAAAACCAAAGCAAAAGCAACAGCAAAATAGAATTGTCACGATCAAAAAGATCCAAAGACATTTCTTTAAATGCCTGGGAGAAAATAAAAGGGTTTAGTTCATTTCTTTTACTGGTTGATTGTTTTTGGTATTTTATCAGCTTGCTTATTTTTTTGGCACTGCTTGGGCCTAAGGTGCTGCATACCTAGAAAAATTAGATCTAATAATGAAGGTTTGGATTGTGTATTTTACAGCTGCCGAGACAATGCCTAGAAAATATAAAATAGGAATACACCTCTAAACACAACATTTGAAAAAAATGCAAGTATCCAGTGCCCCTGTGCTTTCTGTCCTCTCTCTCTCTCTCTCTCTCTCTCTCTCTCTCTCTCTCTCTCTCTCACACACACACACACACACACACACACACACACACACACACACATCATGGTGGGGAAAAGCAACCTGCAGCAGATGTCCCTTTTGATGGAAAAATGTTCCCCATCCCTGCCCTGAAGTTTGAAAGGAGGTGAATGATTAATAAGTACAATGAAAACAACTAGCGCAGCCTCCACAACCTGGGGCCTTCCAGATGTGTTGGACTGCAACTCCCAGCCAATAGCCACGCTGACTGGGGATAAGCAGGTTGCTTACCTGTAACTGATGTTCTTCGAGTGGCCATCTGTGCAGTCACACATATGGGTACTGCGCCTGCGCAGTGCCTTTGGCCGGAAGATTGATAGCTAACGGTTTTTGGCAGGAAGCTCCGCTCCCCCTCCCCTTTGTGGCCTATAAAGAGTGGAGCGTCCGCCATTTTGTTCAGTCTTTGCGACCAAACGTACGGTATCTTAATGGATTTTTTTTTTTGTCGGTACCGTAAAGGAGATGGTCGGTACCAAAAATGCCCTCTCTCATTGACATTGAGCTGTCGATGCATCCACTTACCGACACCGAGCAGGGCCGGCGGGCGGGTTGTGTGACTGCACAGATGGCCACTCGAAGAACATCAGTTACAGGTAAGCAACCTGCTTTTCTTCGTCGTGGCCTCTGTGCATCACACATATGGGTAGATTAACAAGCTTACCATCAAAGGAGGAGGGAAGGTGTCCTCATCGAAGGACGGAGGAGAGAACAGCTCTACCGAAGGAGCAGTCCCGTCGAGCCCGAACATCGAGACGGTAATGCTTGGCGAAAGTGCAGGGATTTGCCCAAGTAGCGGCTCTGCAGACGTCATCAATCGGAACCCCGGATGCAAATGCAGAAGATGTAGCGACAGCTCTAGTAGAATGGCCTCGAGGAACTGAAGGCAATTCGAGCTTAGCTAACTGATAACACAAGGCAATAGTGTGGACTATCCATTTAGAAAGCCTTTGTGGAGTGACTGGGTCGCCCTGATCTCTAGCCGAATATTTGATGAACAGTTTATTGGATCACCGAATAGACTCCATTCGCAATCGATAAAAGGCTAAACAACGCCGAACGTCGAGGGAGTGCAAGGATCTTTCCAAGGGATTCGACGGCGATGGAAAAAAGGCAGGCAGTACAATGTCTTGTCCTGTATGGAAAGGTGTAGAGACTTTGGGCAAGAAAGATGGGTCGAGACGTAAAACGACCTTTTCTCTGTGGAAGTTTAGATAAGGAGGGTCGACGCGGAGGGCACAAAGTTCACTGGCCCTCTGGGCTTACATGACAGCTACAAGGAACGCCGTCTTCCAAGAAACTAATTGGAGATCCACAGTCGCCAAAGGTTCAAAGGGGGCCTTCATAAGGGCCTGTAGAACTACAGAAAGGCTTCATGTGGGCATAACCGGTCTAATTGATGGATTAAGATTATACAGTTCTTTCAAAAATCTCTTGAGGATAGGATGAGAAAATAGGGGTGATCCGTCGACTAAGCCACGGTAGTAGGCTATTGTGGCCGTATACACTTTAATAGAAGGCGGCTTCAGTCCAGAGTGATGCAACTCCAGAAGGAACTGAAGAATTTGTTTGATCGATGAGACAAGTGGGGAGAACGAATGAGACTCGGCGAAGGTGGAAAAACGTTTCCATTTAGCCGTATATGACTTCCTTGTGGACGGCTTTAGGGCAGAGTCGATAATATGCTGAATCTCAGGGTGCAAGAGCGTTGGGATAGGCCAGAGCATATCGCCCCACATCCTAGGAGAGATGCATCGGTACCGAGAGTTATCGAAGGAGGTCGCGCCCTGAAGGGGACTCCCTTCACGAGATTGGTCGGTTTCAGCCACCAGCACAGGGAGTGGAGCACGGAAGACGGGATCCGAATCCGTTTCGACTGTGGGTCTCTTTGTGGATGATACACCTTGTTGAAGAATAGTTGTAGTGGGCGAAGCCGAAGTCTGGCATGTGGAACTACGGCAACTGAGGAGGCCATATACCCCAGGACCCTCTGGATGGATCTCGCCGTAACTGTTCCTTCTCGTCGGATTCGATGGATATGGCGAGCGAGAGTCTGCTGTCTGTCCTGAGGGAGGAAGGCTTTCTCCAATGCGAAGGAGACGTGTGATTCATCGGGTAACGCAGGATCCTGGGATGTCACCACAACGTCCGGGGAGGTTGAGTCTACTTCAGAGTCATCCGAATCAGCAGCGTAGTATGGTGGGGCAGAAGATGATGACTCCGCCGGCGAGAAGGAGCAGCTGCTTCCACTTTGTGGGGATCGAGGTGGCACCCTCCTCAAATCCACAGACCGCGGTTGGTTGCGGGGCGGAGGTGAGGATCACGCCCTGGGAGCAGGGTAGTACCCCACAGAGAGCGGGTCTCCTCAAGGTTGGTAGTAGGGACGACGCCAACTCTCTGGGCGTTGCTCTACCGAGCGGCTCCTCCGATTCCCTGGTGGGGACAGGCCAGCTTCTGTCTCCAATGTCACCGCGGGCATCGGTGTCAGTGACCTCGCTCTGGGAGGGGAGTCCTGGATTTCCCCATCCGAAATAGACCCCTGTAGAGTTGGAAGGGGTGCAGGCGGGAGGTCGACCGCACGTCGGGGAGACCCTTGAGGGGTAACCCGCATGGCCTCCTGAAGGATCGGTTCGGGCGGGGTCGGTATCGTAACCGCCACCGGTACCGAGGGTCCTGTCGGCTCCGAGTCCCGATGTCGGGAACGGTCCGTGGACTTAGCCTTCTTTGGAGGCTTAGAGGCCTTCTCCTTTCTGGCCTTCTTATGGCCTGCCGGCTTCTCTTCAGCATGCTTCCACTTCTCATGCCTCTTTTTTGGTGAAGCAGAGGGGGCCACCGAAGCGGACGCACCTTCATCTGAAGGGCGTGAGGGTGGAGCCACAGAAGCGGAGCCAGGTTTTGGGACAGAGACGAGCGGGTCTGATTGCATCAGAGCCCTATCCCAAAGGAGCCTCCGAAGCCGGTTCTCGTGGTTCTTCCTAGCCTGCTTTGAGAAGGCTAGGCAATGAATGCACTTATCCGTCCTATGCCCCTCTCCAAGGCAGAGGAGGCATAGGTCGTGCAGGTCAGTAGGTGCCATTTTTGACCCGCAGTCCGCACATTTGCAGAAAGCCGCTCGCTACGCCATCGCAGAAGAAAAGAAGTAAAAGACGAGAGATAGTGCAGAGGGTAAGTATGTATATATTTTTTGATAGATCGAAGAAGAAATAACAAGAGAAAAACTACACAGAAGTGGGAAACGAAGTAAAGGGAAAGTGGTAAAAGGGCAATATATAAGGGGAGAACCAAGAATAGCCAAAGCGAAAGTCAAAAGCGGCACGAGGCACAGCGAACGGCGGTCACAAAGACTGAACAAAATGGCAGACGCTCCGCTCTTTATAGGCCACAAGGGGGCGGGGGAGCGGAGCTTCCCGCCAAAAACCGTTAGCTATCAATCTTCCGGCTAAAGGCACCGCGCAGGCGCAGTACCCATATGTGTGATGCACAGAGGCCATGACGAAGAAGATGGGGGTTTCAGTGTGACTTATCTGGAGGTGATTTAATTTGGGAAGGCTGAACTAGGCTATTTACTTCATTTTTCAAATGTCTACACCAGCCTTCATCCAAGATTGGATTTCAGGGCAGTGTACAAATTCTGTTTCTCTTCAAGTGCTCATCCTACTGGTCACAATCTTGCCGGGACCCCTTCTACTCCTCATGTGTGTTCCTTCCCTTTGCAGTTTGGCAGGACTGAAGTCATCGACAACACTTTGAACCCTGACTTTGTGCGCAAGTTCATCCTTGACTACTTCTTTGAAGAGAAGCAGAATCTGCGTTTTGATCTGTGAGTGACAGAACCCGAGGCATTCTAGTGAATAAGAATGACTGAGAAGAACATGAGAGGGGAGTATCCTTGATCTGGTTTGCATGTGAAGCACAGCTTACCATGGGTTGTTTAACCCACAATGAGCACTTTACATATTTAACTCCCAGTTGTCTCATGCAAACCTGGTGAGACTGAGTTCTGCACGAGTTAAACATAATCAATGCATAACCCATGCCATGACCTACAATTACGAGAGGGTACGCCACACTCACCAGGTTTGCATGACATAACAACCCTTGGATTGAATAACCCATGGAAGGCCACCACATTCTGCAAATCAACCCAGTTTCCCTACCAACACCAAGTCTGTTTTGGGGACCATCCTACTCCTTTGCCCTAGCTCGGATTTACAAAGAGAATGAAGCCCCCAAGCAGAACGGAATTATTTTTTTCTTCAGTGCTCCATGGGCAGCGATAATTCGAATTAATGCCAGCATAATGGCTTATCAAGCCAGAGTTTGGCCATTCTTTTCTGCTATTCTGCCCTGAAATGGGCTGTTCCAAAATGGGCTGCCCTGAAATGGGCTGTTCTTTACTTAATGGCTCTGTTCTTTCAGTGGCTGAAAAGGGCCTTGTCATTTTAGAAGGCTTGGACAGCAAGAATGAAAAAGTGCTAAAATAAATTTGCTCCCCTGAATTGTCCTGCACAAACTTGGCAGCCAACTATTCTTCAGGTGTTTCATGAAAGAGTATTTGATAGCTGATTCATAATAGTATTTATATTCTGTAGTATTTGATACACCACATGCAATGGGATTAGTTTCTGCAGCATTTGTTTGATAACATGCAATAATGAGAGTATTTCTTCTTTGAAATCTGCCAACAAAAATTATCCAAAGATACCAATAACTCTGAAGTATTCAGATTTTTTTTTTAAATTTTATGTTCAGAATGTGCATTTTAACTTGCTTTGAAGCTGCATTTCTTTCAGCTCTGGTGTGAGGGATGAAAACTGATGAGATTAGGGATGTATACATTTTGGTAAATCTATTCCATCTATGTCTCATGGATTGTCTGGTGTCTTTCCTTGCATCTTCTGCTCACTGACTGAACATCTTTTTTTAAAGATATGTTCTTGTTTGCAAATGTGCATTTGTGCAGATGGACATATGAGGCAATTTGCATTATCACAAATGTACAAACATTCTCCCAAAAGGAGAAAACAGTCCAAAAGTCCATGAAATCTTCACAAGTAGACAACTTCCAGCTGTTCCACTGCAGAATCCACAGGCTGGACTCATAGAAATCCACCTTCATCTGAATCTGTTGCAGATTTCTCCAGCATCCCTCCATGTGATACAGAATCAGAGCCCAAACACTACAGTTTTTATTTTTCCCAATTTAATAGCTTTATATAGAACAATGAAATTATAATTACCCCATCAGTTCTACTCTTGCCTTAATTCCTTGCTTTAAGTAATAGAAGTAGTTCTGATCACAAAAAAAATCAACCCACAGGATTCCACATATAAGAGGTAGTAGATTTCCTATCTTTGATAACTTTTGGATCAATTTCCTTCTTCATAGATACTATCTATTGTTCTGGTTCGTATTTGCTGCGTAAGCTTTGTGGACTAGGAAATCCTGAGATTCCACATAAGTGAGGTTTGATGAATTATTTCTGCTTCTTTTTTCCTGCAGTTATGATGTGGACTCAAAGAGCCCTGACCTGTCAAAACATGTAAGTTAAGTGTGTGTTCCTGGCTTCTTTGTCTGATCCTTTCACTTTCAAAATACTTATTGTTTGATCCCCCTCCTTCTGTTTCTTCTTTGCTTTTATCATTCTGAATGTAGGAAGCTTCCTTCTGCTGGACTGAGGGTTTGTCTCTCTAGCCCAGTATCATTTGCTCTGATGGCTGCAACTTTCCAAGAGCTCGAGCAGAGTTGTTACCAACCCTCTGCTTATAATAAAACTTAATTTGTTTAGAACTACAGAATTCCAGTGTTTAATAATATCACTTTCTCATTCAGAGAGCTCTAACAATACCACTGCTCTAATTCTTGGAAATGTTCCGATACCTTGCTACTCTAATAGAACAAATCATATGTAAACAAGAGTTTCCTTATCCTTAATGGGATTGAATGATACTCTTTTGCATTTTAGTTTCAGAAAATATGGGCTGTCCATAGATTAGACATATATGGCAGCATTCTTCACACTTGACATTATAGGTTGAAACTCTTGACATGTGCTTTGACTGAAATGAACTTGTTTCCACATGGAAGCTGAATTGATTGGCTGGAAATAAGATTCACCGGCTCATTAATAACTTCTCTCCTTCAGTCTCCAGGGAGCTCTGGGCAGGGGGAAATAGCTAAGGTGGACTTGTGCTGTTGCATAATAATCATATAAATTTCCTTCATCAGGATTTCCTTGGCCAGACTTTCTGCACACTGGGCGAGATTGTTGGGTCCTCGGGAAGCCGCTTGGAGAAGCCTCTGATGTGAGTGTCCAGACTTGTGTGTGGCGAATAGCAGGTTCTAGCTCTAAGCGATGTTGCTCCGTTTGGCTGGGTGTTTGGCAAGATATAAAGCCAGGCACAAAGCTCTGTGCTGTTACAGACTGCTGGAGATGGGATCGTGCAAGCTGTATTGCTGAATTGGCTGAGATTAATCTGTAGTGCTATCCTGCTAGGTTTACAGTTGAACAAGCGAAAATGCTGCTGTTGCATCGCACAGTCTGTCATAAGCTCCTTCTTGGCCAACTCAGATTGAACAGAGTATACACAAGAGAAAATAATGCACGCTACAATATTGTGTCAGTTTAATACCAGTGGTTTGTTAATTTTTTTAAGCACCCAGTAGCCAGAAAGCTCTCTGGGAGGTTAACATGATCAAACAGATAAAACAGACACCATCCAACAAAGTAATAAAAGCAATAAAAACAGTCTTGGCTTTCTCCCAAAATATCATGGGAGTTTAATTGGGCGATGGCACTGCAAACATTCTGCTAAGGATCCTTGTGCAGTGGGATGGAGCTGGTGATGATGATGATGATGATACACCATCTGTCACCACCCTCTCCTTAGGATCCCTTGCTCCCTTGGAGCTTAGTTGCAATTTTGACAGCAGCTGGGGAAAGATGCATTTTCCCAACAACAATATACGTATGCACACTATTTTGGGGTGCCTTGGTCTTGACTGGGCAATTACGATTAGGTTTAAAAAAATCTGCTTCTGGTGGAGGTGAAACTGCTAGAACTGGTTTGTTGGTATAGAGCCACATATTGATCTGAATGGTTGGACTCGCTTTAGGGGCATACGGTAGCAGTGTGGACTGTCATGTAACCACTACACCATTGGTCCATTCCTTCCATCTTCCTTCTAAAGCAGTGTAATTCCGGGCAGGAATCCCTATGGAGAAGGAAGGAGGGACTCTTAAACCAGTTTGTCATGCAGCTACGTTGATTCGCTGAGGGCTGACTCTTGAACTCCCGCACTTGGATTGATCCTTAAGGGTCACATAGAGCTCCTTTGCTCTGTAGCAAATTTCTACTTGCCATGGGACAAGTTATACAAATTGCCAAAGAGTTACATTAGTGCATCTTAGATTTGCAGTGTCAGGTTCGTTACCAGCATTTAAATTGCAGCTCCTTATTAGATTAAATGACTCCATTGGCAGCTTGCCTGGAGACTAGACATGGGTTCTTTGCTAAAGAGGATGTTTCCCCCACAAGTGGCTATTTTATATTTCATTTTTAAAATTTTAGTTTTCACATCATTATTTATTTCATTCCTATACTTCCCAATAGCTGGAGCCCACTGGGTGGCTTACAACAACACACACGAAAGAATACAAATACACGAGCAATAAAAACTTCTAAATCATCATATAAAATCTAAAAGCCAATTTTTTAAAAAAAAGGAACAAAAAGCAGCAACAGCTTAAATGATACATGCCTGTTAACCAAAATGCATGTTTACCACAAGGTATAATAATAATGGCAATTAACGGACCTGTTTCACGGAATTAGGCAGGAATCTTCAGTCCCCCCTTTCCCAGGTACTTGCAATGAGTTCATTCTACCCCACCCAATGAAATTCTAGCTGGTTCATGATGTCATTTTAAAATTAAGATCTCTGTCTCAAGGAATCCTTTTCTCCCAAATGGATGGATGGATTAATGGCTAATCAACACATCACACCAAGTGTATGTCTCCCTGCGAACTAGCAAGCAGATGCTTTGCTTTCCTCACACCTGTTGCAAAGGCTACATCAGGAGTGGGCAACGTGCTGTGGGTCTGTTGTTGGTCTGTGATTTCCGTCAGGTCTGACCATTGGGTTTGCCGGCTGGGGCCACAGAGTCTGGAGGGCCACAAGCTTTCCCACCTCTGGTCCAGAAGTTGTGACCTCATGAAGTCCTGCTCTGTCCTGTCCCTCACTAGTGTTGACCAAGCTTAGGTGAGGAAGTGTGTGGCCTCGTGACTACACGACCTGAAATAAGGCCTTTCTAGAGGAAGACATGTAAGGTTTCATTTGCTCCTCAGGCTCCAATTTGAACCACATCTCCTAGGAAGTTTTCAGGCTTGTTGAAACCAACAGGACATGTTGCTGAATAAACATTGTTGCAACTGTGTAATAAATGCTGAAAAAATCTGTTGTCCCCCGACAAACATGTGTGTGTCTCAGAGCAAACTTAACTTTTTGAACCATTTCTTCTGGGCACACACATATCCATATCCATATCCATATCCATATCCATAAAATCAGTCGCCTTTAAGCCTTTATCACGTTTGCTGCTACCCTCTGGACCCATTCCTGTATCCCGCAGTGGCATCTGCCTTGCATTTAATTTTTGATCTGCAGTAGTCGGTATTAGCAAGGCCTAGCTTTGCTAGTTTTCTTTAATGTGTAGAAAAGCAAATATGATATTTGAGGGACTTCTCCCCACACCAAGTTTAATACTTCTACATGTGTCTTTATCGAATTTCATCTTACTGTTTTTTAATCCATCTCTCCAGTTTCTCGACATTATTGTCAGTGCTGATTCCGTTAACCAAATGGATCGCAACCTCTCCAGGCTTTTTTAATCTTCTGCAAGTTTTAAATTGCACCCCATTTTCTTCAATAGCTGCTTTCAGATGTAATGTGAAACCATGCTTGTATTCTTATGAGAAGGCACTGTGCCTAGCCCTGTGCCTGTAGCCTGTCCTTCTCCCGGAACCCATCTTTACAGACCAGAGGAGCCTATTCAAAGCTTGAGGTCTGCAGATTGTAACACGCTGCTCCCTCCCATTCTGTCCAAATATGGGGAACCGGTTTGTGCTGAGCACAGCTAGAAAACAAAGTAGGGCAATGTGATTTTTAAAAAATGTACATAAATGCTTTAATGTGGGAGGAAATTTCAGAGGACATAAAATGTGTATATAGAGGCCATAACCCCACACATCCTCTTGCCTCATCCATTCTGGATTGGGGAGCCCATGAGTTCCTTGAAAAATCTCAGCAATATGTGCTTAAAACCCCATCTAAGCAAGTTCCTCTTGCTGTTTTGGTTCTCTTATTCTGGTTGCCTTTCTAATGCTTGTTTGTGGGGGGGGGGGTTGCTTTTTTACCTTTTGAAGTTTTAGACATGGTGGTTTTCACTGTGAATTGCTTTAGTTTCACTATATTAACCACCTTGGGAGCCATTATGATTGAAGAGCAATCTATAACTGTACTCAATGTAGATACAAGAAGCTTGAACAATGCTTAAGGGCACAATCCTATCCATGCTTAAGGAAAGAAAAAGCCCTACAGCTATTAGAATTCTCCAGCCAGTCAGCCACGCTGCCTGGGAAATTGTGGGAGGTGACGGACTTTGTTCTCTCTAAACTTTCATAAGGTTGCACCCTAAGCCATTTTGTATCTTCTGCCTCTTAGTGTTGATAATTATAGAGCTCAAGTGCTGCAATAATAAAAGAGAATCTTGACTTGTTGGCATGTTTTCTGATTCACCATCATTCCTAAAATTAGGGGTGTCTTTCAGGATCTTGGTTAGGATACGCTGGTGGAGGACAGACATAGGAGGCAGGGTGACTGCTTCATGATCATTGCACGTTGAAGAATAAGCGCAGGCACTTTAGGGAAAGGCACAGCGGGGGCTCAGCCTGTTGGGGCCCTGCTCCATTACTGAAACCACACTGGTTGTCAAATGACACATTATATACATTGCATGGTGTGTTGCTGCGGTTTCTCTGCTTTTTTACTCCTGAGTAAGTGCACAAATTCCCATATGGATTGGGTCTGCCATGCACCAGGAAAGGAGGATTAAACTTCCCTACTGCCACTTGCTTCCAGAAATCCCCACCACTACAGAGTGAGGCTTTCAAACAAACTTAATTAGCATCAGCACAGACTTTCCCCATTTTTACCTCGTGTGTGTTGTGGGGGGATGGATAAGAGGGGGCTTTTAGGAGTGGTGGGAGTAAAGTTTAATCCTCCCATCCTTGTGCATGATCCTGATGCAAATAGGTCTGTTCATGCTTACACTAGAGTAATTTTATTTTAAAGCCTCAGCAACATGGCTTGCAATTGACACAACATGTAGTTTGATGCTGAAGCGCCACTGTTGGGAGTGCGGAGCTGTGATCACGTAGCCAATTCAGCTTCAACTTGCCATTGTGGAAGTGTCTGTCCTCATTGCCTGAGAGAATTGCTGCAGAGTCCCGGAAGGCAGCAGGTGCCAAGGGGCTCCTTGCAATTGCCAGCCGTAATTGGCAATGAAGCGAGAGATTCAGTCTTCTGCCTTTGGAGAAGCTGCTTATTAATTCTGAAGCACCATGGGAGAGGGAATGTAAGGCAGCAGGTACGATGGGGTGGGGCATTACAGCAACCAGCTGTGAGATTAATTAGCATTGCTGCTGGCAATAAGTCAGAACCCCTCGTTAGAGAACCTGGGGCACAAGCACCCATCCTGACTGTGTGGAAAGAAACAGAAAAGGCAGATTTATTCCTAATCATTGCTTAGACTTTGTCTTGCTCCTCCAGTGTGCAAAATGCTTTCATAATCCTCGTTTGTGTTTGCCTCATGACAGCCCTGTAAGTTAGGCCACTTTTACTCCCGTTCTACAGATCCGAAAGGGAGAGGCTGACATACTGGCCTGGATTCTGAGATCTCTGAGTAGGAAGATGCTCTTGGAAGGGGTTTTCCAGGCCCAAAGCAGACAAAAACTGCTGTAAGAAAAGGCCAGATAAGGGGGGAAATGAGAGCTGTACAAAGGGCCATATACTGTATGTCCACTTGTTTTAAGGAAATACCTCTCTTTATCAAGGGATTTCCCTCTGTGCTTTTTGAAAGACTTCCCTGGGGTCACCTCAGGTTGGAACAGAGGCTCTCTCTTCATTGTCGGGTTTGGTTTCCACTCCCCCTCTGCTGAACTGCCTTCCCTGACAAGCATGTTCGGAAGTCTGGTGGGCCCTCCCTGAGCTGCCTGGAGCAGATGTGTTCAATTTTGGACTCCCT